AAACTACTATAAGTTAAAAACAGAAGTTATGTTTTATAGTAATCAGAATAAATGACGGACTCATTCCTCTGTACTAACTTCAAAATGGCCTTGTATTTCTTTTTCTCAGGCCTATTTACTTTGCAGCTGTAATAAGGATTGGTATTATCAATAACATTTCTGATGCTGAAGCCCAAACACTTCTTAGTCTATATAAGTCACTTATAAAATAAGAATTAGGCATATCTGTGTTTGTTATTTCAAGGAAAAGGGGGTAAAATAAAGCTTTGGTATGCGGTACATGTCTTGGCTTTCCTATAGGGAAATCTTTACAGCTTCTCACTAATAAGGTTTGGTCTGTGTTAACACATGGTAGACCTGGACACATCTAAAGCTGTGGGTAGACTAGTGTGGGATGCTTCCGCAATTCCAGATGTTCCAAGACATAAACCTGGTACACCATCCTGGACCAGGCTGGGTGTGAAGGTAGGCATCTTGACAACGCTTCCTTTTAGGAAACAACCTTTTCTCAGGGATAAAGATAGAAGCCCTCCTGAGGCACTCCAAATAGGCCTGTGTGCTATTTTGAATAGTATAGCACTCCAGACTGTAGTGAGTTTATAGAATTTAATGGAGTGCAGAATATGGAGTTGTTCCTCAGTGAATGGGGGAGTTGGTTCCCGGACTCTGTAGAAAGGAAAACCTGCAGATGTTTTAATCCTTACATAAGATGACAGTTTTGCAAGAGCACATCCTCTCATATACTTTAAATCATGTCTAGTTGACTTATCAATTCAAATAATATGTAAATGCTGTGTTCCAAAACACTTCTTAGTCTATATAAGTCACTTATAAAATAAGAAATAGGCTTATCTGTATTTATTATTTCAAGGAAAAGCGGATAAAATAAAGCTTTGATATACGGGGCATGTCTTGACTTTCCTATAGGTAAAACAAACTACTCTTACTTTTTACAGCTTCTCACTAAAGGTTTGGTCTATGTTAACACAAGGTAGTGCTAGACTAGGGACCTACTTTTCATGAACACCATAGCTACTTGATGCACAAAATATAATGAAGAGATGAAGCAGGAATGTGAGCCCAGGCAATCTGGACCCTTGGTGTGTTATCTCCCATCCCAAGCTCCCAGGGAGTATTGGAAAGTGATAAATGTAAAACTAGTATCAGTATTCAAAAGGTGGGCATTTTAAAGCATTTAAACATATATAGCATCTATACAAATATTAATGTCCGTTTTTTATTGTCAGTAAATATTTGATATACCCCATGGAAAGAAAATGCAGATAACATAACAGGAACATGAAGACAATTTTCAGGTTTGATTTATGCACTGACTCTGTCATGGTGTCTGTAAATTATGAGTGATATAAAAAATTTAAGCGAGAAAGATGATTCTCAGTTAGACTAGCAAAAGTGTAGGGATTTTTATACTTGTTGCTATTAGAATGCCTACAGTTATGACAGGACGATATTGGGGGGAAAGCATATCCCTTTCTAGAGAAAGTACTAAAGAAATAACATCAAGAGAAGACTAGGTTCAGAGCTTCAGACCAGTTCACCAGAGTTCAGAATTGTTTCGCAATAGTTGTGAAAAATGATGTGGGGTTATGCTAGAGTCCTGGGTATGCAATTTTAAAATATAGTCAAAACTCTTTTACAGCATTTGCACAGTAATATTAATATCAAAAATATTGATCAGAGCCATGTTCACCAGCAGTAGCATGAACTCCTTCTGATGTCTGGAAAGGACATGAGAGAGTGAAGAATAGAGAAAGCAAACTACGGTAACAAGAGACCCCATAGCCACCTGATGCAAAAAATATTTACTTTATATTATTGTATTTAATAATTTAATAGTATTCCATTGTTATGAGTTTTGGTGAATTTAATAACTAAAATTGATATCACATAATATCTTCTTTTACAAGGAGATGTCATGCGGAAGTTCAGTTCCATAGTGAAAGCAGTAATTCAAGCCACACAAGAATCTATAGACTTACTTCTTTGCTGTGTAGTTTTCTCTGGAGAGATAAAAATAATGGATAAAAAGTCATTTTATAATTTTCCATCCTCACAATTATTTGAAAATTTCCTGCTACAATGTTAACTTTAAAATTGAATATATTTCCATTCCTTAACCCCCAGCACTAGGAATTGAACCCAAAATATGCTCTCTTGTTTCTCTTTCTTAAGATCTAAAGCCATCATGGTGGTATATACAAATAATATATGTTGCACTATTTTGTCTGGGAGATGTGATAAATGACAATTCACACCAAATACACCACCACCAACAGACCACACAAGTGAAGCCACTCAGTTAAAGATACGCACACGAACATGGGTGACTGACTCAATCTCTGAGTTCTCTGAAGCTTGTCAGATTCCTTCCTAGCCTCTTAAAATTCTGTCAGCTTACTGACTGTGAGTTCAGAGGACACCGTGGCACAATATCTTGTGGACTAGGAGCCAATCCCATTGTCTCATTATGTTACTATGGCAGCCAGATGAGAATGATGTAGGAAAACAATTGTTGAATATCAATTTGAATTACGTGTCTGTATTCTATGCTCTAGCACTAACTAATCAGTTGGAACACAATGATTTTGAATTTGTACAATGTCTCTAACTAATATAGAATCATGTATCTGCATGCATAAAAGTATCCAGATGTTTTTCTAACTTACCTAATATATTTTATTCTAACATACATTAATAAACTATATTGTTATTTTATAAATTTAATGTAAATATTATATAGCTATTCATAACTATTTTTCCTTAATTGCAAGAAATACTAACAATGACGACAAGAAGGAATGCTATTAAATAAGTCAGAATTTTGTTTCCTGACATTAACCTTAAAATAGCACTCTTACTCACTGTTATTTCTTTATACTATAGTAATCACCCTTTGATTCCATCCTTTTAATCCACACTGAAGTTAATTAGTAGCAGATTAATATACTGCATCTCTTTCTTTCAAAGGCATTCAGAACTATACTAAGTGCCTAGAAAGGACTTTGATCCAAGAGCCAGAGAGCAAGTTAATGGGCTCCTTTTGTTTTCCCAATCACCCACAGTAGCTCTCAGTTATAGGTGATTTCTTTTGTTTGGAAAAGTAAACTTTTCCAAGGGACTGATACCGTTTGGAAATACCTCTGTAGTGTTGGTCTAGGTGGTTCCATAGATTCAAATTCCAGAGTCTTAACTTTAGGAAACAGGTAGTTTTACAGCTCAAGTAATATGAAGTGCATACATTATTTTGTATTAATCACTCATTTTAAAGAATAGTGCATCCCCTTACTATAACATCTCTATGATTTCAAGTAGTTTAGGGAGAGATATAATGATAATAGTACCTATCAACCTGTACCTATTCTATATGATATGCTGAAATAATTTTATATGGCATTGATTCCATTATCTTGTGATTCTAAACCCTAATATTTGAAGTAGACATGAAGTTTTTCCTTGACCTAGGCCTGAAACTTCACTATAATATGTCTTACTGCCTCTCATGCTAAATTGTGTTTAACCAGTCCATTTACCTCTGACCTTTTGTTCTAGCATTACTTTTTGTCAGTTTAGGAAAGAAAATTAGGTTCGGAGGAATTAACAGATGGAGGTTCAAAGTAGCAGTAGGAAACGGGACCACAATAGAATTTGTCATTGATGAAATACTGATGGAAAAAAATAAAAACTTTGTTGACATGATTTAATCCCAGATATGGGAAAGTCTGATTTAATTAAAATAAATTTTTAAACATTGCAATACTTTAAAATAATTATTAAAATCATAGGAAGCTAAGGAAGATGAATTAATAAAATTTTATTGTAACATGTATCTAAACTGAACAGCATTATCAAAGGCAAATCAAAACATAAGAATGTATCTGTGATGACTAAAACGAAAATCCAAATACTAAAATTATTTGCTTCATTTAGCTCTAGAAAATATACGTTCTGTGGGTTATAATGATATGATTTATACAGACTTGTTTGGACTCACTAAGTAATAGATTGTTAAGGACAAAAGGTTAGGATGGTGATATGCTCTTGCTCATGAACAGCTTCATGAAGACAAGGTCAGAGTGTCTACGGCTTCTCTATAACGAAACATCAGGCTAGAGACTCACCATGCTTCTCTCCAAGGTTGTCAGCTTCTCTTCCCTTCCAATCCCACTATCTCTACAGCCATTTTACATGCCATTTCAGTGGAACATGAAAGTGGTCGTGCGGATTAGCTATTGTCTCATTGCACACATGAAGAAATGAAGCACAAAATGCAATGTTTCATTTGTATAAGTGGCCCATAAAAGCTAGGGACGCAAGCTGTTCTCACTCTAACCGTAGGATTTTCTTTTCCGTGCTGCAAATACACCAGACAACTGCTGGTGAGCAATCACATTAAACTGCCAACCTACCGTTGGTTGCTGTCTGTTTGTATATCTGGAAGTGAATATCGCTCTTCTTTATTGAATCTGCCTCAAAGTATACTACATATCAGTTTTTGAATCTTTGTAACTTCTTGTACATTAGTCCAATTTTAGGTAACTGGGAGGATATAGTGAATTGGGATTCAAAAAAGCCAAGTATCATTTGCAGCATTGATACATAATGCCACCGGCACTTTTTATGTGGAATTTTAACTTTCAAAGCACATTTTCCTCATTTTTAAAATTAAATTAACCTTATCTGCTCTGTTTATTTTATGAGATTTTTGTTGTTGCTGTTGTTGGTGGTGGTCTTGGTGGTGGTGTTAGCTAAGAGTCACAATTCAAGTAGAAGCTTCTAGAGGTAAGCACCAATATTGTCATCCTATCTTAGCCAAATAACTTACTTTCCAAGCCTGCTGTTATAATGTGTGATAAAGTTAGAAGATTCAGCATAATTTAAGAGTATAGATGCTAAGATACAATATCACATGAAGAACGCAAGATACTGATAATTGTCCTGTATTGGAATGACTCAACCTTTCTTCCTTGTGTTTCTTTTAGGACCACTGAGGTTCCTTTCCCAGACAGAATCTATCACAGCCTTCGTGGGAGATACAGTGTTACTCAAGTGTGAAGTCATTGGGGAACCCATGCCAACAATACACTGGCAGAAAAATCAACAAGACCTCATTCCAATTCCAGGAGACTCCCGTGTGGTGGTCTTGCCCTCTGGAGCATTGCAGATCAGCCGACTCCAGGCAGGGGACATTGGAGTCTACCGATGCTCAGCTCGGAACCCAGCCAGCATAAGAACAGGAAATGAAGCAGAAGTTAGAATTTTATCAGGTATTTCAATGCTTACCATGGTTTCCCACAATAAAGCTGTCTAGAAAAGATCAAAAGATCAAATGATTTTTTAGGGACAAATATTTTCTAAGGCTTAGGTGTTCTATATTGCTTACTGAGTTTTGATTAACATTATTTCTCCTTTTTTGTTAACATAATATATGAGATTATATGTTCTTAAGTTTTGTATACTACTAGTTTTTTTGAGAAACATAAAAATATGCTTTTGTAAATCACAGAAAAGCATTCAGAAGTTTGAATGAACTGCTCTTCAAATCATAGGTACTGGTATCCATCCATACACTCCTAATTGCTTGAGTTATAATAAATATTTCATATAGAGAGACTGCAGGGTTTCTAAAAGAAAACTAGCAATTCAGGTGAAGTTTATTCATGTTTTAAATAAGACAAGTTTAAAATATCTTTCTCATTTCTTTGTGTGCTCAAATTAGTCACATGGATATTGACTTCAGTATGCTAGTAACTATTACAATTTGACTACATTACATACACCTTACAATAAAATAAAACATAACAGTTATTAGCAGCACATGCTCAGATTTATTTAGGCTCCATTTTATGCCTCCGAATTTAAATATTATATTCATATGTAATGTAAACCTTGAATCATTAGATAGTAAGCCACATTTAAAATATTGACAGGAATATGCTTGATTATTTCAATATGACAGAGAAGCCTATTTTCAGTAACATTAAAAAATCAAATCTAATATTAAATTTGAAATATAAATTAAATTGTTATTGACTTCTATTTGTTCACATTGTAAAGTATATAATAATTGAATTGCATAAAGATTTATTTACAGCCACGTCAGTGTGCTTTGGAGCTGTATAGATATTTTAATAGGGAGGAAAACTAAAGGAAGCCCGTGTATTGAGGTGATATGGAAGGAATTGGAGGTAGAGTGGTAGACATGATCATATTATATTGAATACATGGATAAAATTCTCAATAGAACTGGAATAAAGAATTAATTCAAATTTTAATTCAAATATTCAAACATAAACTTCAAAAATTAACTACAAGAAGATCTAATGCACAAATATGCTGTCCGTCTTGACCTAGCCTGGCTCATGAACTGTAGACACTTTAACAGTCTGTGTAAGAGAAGTTCTGTTTGATTCCTTTGGTCTCAAGTTTTCCTGTTTGTTTAGAAGTAAAACAAAAAGATGAACAAAAGTTATACCACTATACAAGAGAATGAATGAGTCAATATTCTTAAAACCTTAGTTGTTAATTATGCCGCTTGGATTTTTAACATCTTGTTATTCTTTTCTGAGTTAGTTTCTACTTTCTGTAAGCACCAGCTTGAAGCACTAATTGTTCCATATTCATATTGAACATTTTCTATTATACCTCTTCTTTAACAGGAAAATGATACGGCCACTAAAATAGGTACCCACAATGTGATTAGCATGAATTGGTAGCTTTAGAAATGTCATTGCAAGCTGAGCTAGCTCGTTTCCCTAGTGTACACACTTTGGAAACTGAGGCAGAAGTATTTCCACAAGTTTCAGACTTGACGACGCTACGTAAAGATTTCCATGTTAGCTTGGAAAACAGAGTGAGATGCCTGAACAGATAAAGAAAAGAAAAAATGGTATAGAATGGTTAACCCACAAATATTTTCCTGTAGTACCTTAAGTACCATGCTGATTAAGTTATACCTTGTGTTAGTGCTAATGTGAAATTTGACAATTTTACCAACATGTATTTATTACCATTATTTGATAAAGTATTTAGGTATGTATTATTTATGTATTTATTATTGTCTTTGTCATACTGGAAATTAACCTAGGGCTTCAGATAACCTGAGAAAGAATTCTACCACTGGTTTGAATTCCTGCCTATTTTCTTACTTTTTAAATTTTGAGATAGAGTCCCACTAAGTTGCCTAGATATAGATAGCCTTTTCCTCACCCTATAGCTCAGACAGTCCTTGAATTTGGGAAGTTCTTGGCTCAGCCGCCCACGTATCAGAATGTACAAGCCTCTGCCACAATCCATTCAAGGTCAAATTCCATGTATGTTTTACAAGGGATTATCTAATTCTAACTAACTTTAACTTTATAACACTTATTCCAATTCATGAAACACATTCCAGGTAATAAATATTAACAAATCACTGGATTCCATAAATTCTCTTTTTAATAATCAAGTAATTATGACTAGTTTCAATTTATAAATGCTGCAGCCCTCACCATTTTTACTAATGCATACATAACAGCCATTGACTATAAAAAGAAAGTTGGATGATGAAGTCCTGGAGAGGAACTACATAAAGCAAATAGATAATACCGTGAAGACAAGTCAGAGTGTTTTGTGTATGAGAGAAATGTCATTTGACTCTGTCAAAGATCAAGAAGTGTTGAGCAAAGGGAACTATATATCAGGGCAGAAGAGAGGAAGGAGCAAGAGGAGGTGGACACTTTTGAGAAAGCATCACAGATTGTGTGAGACAGCACTGGGAAATAGAGGAAGAGGTGGAGGGACGAGCAAGCCAGAAGGAAGGAAGTTAGACTGGGAAGACCTCCTGTTAATTGTGCAGAGAACTGCTCCTACAGTGGCAGCAGAAGGAATTCAGATATGAAGATGATTGGGAAGTTTTTAAAAGCAGGTGTTGTGATGTATGGGGGATGGGATGTCTGTCATCTGGGTTCCTACAAGAGCTGGGAAGTGAGATCTGAGCAGAGACAGGCATGTGGCCTGGTCTTATATCTTCAGCATACCTGGGTGTAAGAGAAAACAGTAGCTATGGATCACATCAGTTATATATTTCAAGAGAGATTTTTCCATGACGGTCCATCTATTCCAGGTGAAGATAATTATTTAATTCAAAAGCAGGCAAACTGGTAACTAATCTGTTGACCAATGATTTCAGACAAATTGAGTTTTTCTTCGTGAGCAATTATACATTTTTAATAGAGTAAATTAGCAGTATCTGCTATAATATACTTTTTAAAAATATCAACTGCAACACTATAGGCTGTGATGTATCAAAACATCACCGCTAAAGGGGACTATATCTGCCAGCCAATGTGGTTGTAAAATTAACTTTATTCGTGGATCATCACATTTGAATGTCAAGCCATGCACCGACTGGATTACAGAATTATAAATGTTCTTCAATTACTAGGTTGACTGAATGAACTTGTCCAGGCCTTGGAATTCTTATTTCAGGTTTCTTAATGACCTAATTAGATTATTCAGTTGATAATTCAATCAACTATTTATCCACACTACACTAAGGTGATGCTGGGTCCTCTACAGACCCAGAGGTATTGACTGTCTATGGTTGGTTGAAAATATATTCTGAATTTTTTTGTTATAATATTTAATTTTATTTCAAAAATATTTTAATATTTATCTTATTTGTGGCCTTAAAATAGATTACTTCACAATTTCATTTATCATTAAGAAGACTACTTGATATTCTATTTAACATTATATTTTATTAATAATAATTTTAATTCAAAATTAATTATAGGTTATCATTTGAAAAATCCCTGGTTCAGTTGCAAACCACAGAAATAACTCTCAGAAAAACACAAGACACAGAAATATTTTTTTGTTTCTAAGTACAAAGTTTACATTTACTGTATTATATAATTTGTGAAAATGTCCATTAATATTATGTCCCCCAAACAGCACATCTGTTTTATGTAAAAAAAAAAAGTACCCTATTAACTCATTATAGTGTTACAAATCTGAATCTTGGAACTTGGGAGCGAGAAGCTGGCCAATCAGAGCTGTATAGCCATATAGGCCCTCATCACACAAACAGACAGAGCAAGCTGGTGTTCATCTGAACCTTAGGCTGACACAGCTGACTGATCAGGGTGGTGGCAGCTGAAGACTGAGTGTCTTCAGAAAGATCTTCAAATTAGAAAAGACTGACGTTTGCCCTTAGGAAAAGTTTTGCAATAGCAGGACCTCCTGCTTAGTAGCATTTGCTGACCGTGGGCTTCCTTTCAGAGCCAAAGCCAATCTTTGAAACTCAACCACTGCTTTGTCAACTAAGTTGACATCATATTTATAAACTTACATTTCATAGGATGACAGCCATTGTCATAGCCACAAGTTGGGGCGACATCTGTCAGGGCGTGTGGTTTAGAAATGTTAGGCAAAAGGAACAGAGCTATGAAAGAAATACAGAGACATAGGACTGTATCTACTGGGAGGGCAACCAAGTGAATCCTGAATCCTAAAAATGCCTGTGCTTATTTTCATACGCTTATATACACCAATCCAAAAAAGGGGGGAAGAAGGCAAACGATTACTTTAAGATGACACAAAGGACAAACAGAACAAATACTTGCTTCTATACCTGAGACATCAAGCCACTAATTTCCTGAATTAAGTATTCTGATGTTTTAGGCAGGACATTCACTGACAACACCTTAGACCAGGTATCTTATAGGCAGCCACTCCCTAGGTAAAACCTCCTGTCTTAAAAATGAAGGAACAGAAATAGGCTTGGATTCTCTGACCTTTGGTCAAGGTGGATGGACCCACCTCTATGAGCCATCCTAATATCCAAAATACCAAGTATCCACACCACGGTCAGGGTATCTTGTTTATAGCCACTCCTTAAGTCAGATTAATTTTTATATATTACTCATAATATAATAATAACAGTAATAATATGTTGTAATCATTTCCTATTGTGTGTGAATAGCAGTTCTCAAGACTGGGCTTAAATATTCAACAATATATGCTGCAAATAATTCTTTCACTCAATTTTTGTTGCACTTAGAGAGCAAAAACAAAGTGGAAAGAAGCACGCTATTTAAAGGTCCTCAAGCAGATTTTCACAAAGATACTGGAGATCTGCTTTAACTTAGTTACTAGTTATATTAGCACCTGCCACACAAGACAGTCAGACCTTTGCAGCACTGAAGCCAAGCACTGATATTTGTCTTGAGCTATGAAAGCAATAGGTATCATGGCATTTGAAGGGAGTTGGCATATATTGGAA